TCAGCTTTAAATCAGTAGGCATGTACTGAAAGGAGACAGATTATGGAGGGCATATTCTAACATTTTATTAGTTAGCAAAACTTCTATGTATACTGGAAAAAAGAGCATGCCGTAACAAAACACTTCTAAAATTTAGCATCTATGCAACTACATTTATAATTCTTGCCACTTATGCTATTTTCCCTATCTGTTATTGCTGCTCTTACTTGTTACATCATGCAGATCATAAAAACAAGACATCCTCAAGGCAGGTCTATCTCCTTACATTTGGAAAATACCTGGCACATTGCTCCAGCCACTGCATTTATATGCAGTGTATCACCGGGCTGTTTTCTTACATATCTGGAAAAGTATTTTTTACTTTTCAGACACTGCTCGATATGTTCATCGCAGAGTGTCAGTTAAGACACAGCAAAAACAATGGTTCTAACAGGTGAAAAAAAATAAAACCCCAAATACTATAGACGAGCACAGCAAATACACAGCCCCATTTAAATAGTGACAAGACCCCCCACTTCTGTCTATACAAGAGAGTAAAAGTTACTCTATTACTTTTCAGAAATTTACCCATGATGTTGACTTCAAGTTAACATGGGAATTATCTTTCACTACTGCGAAAAAATACCAATGTTGGCAAACTGTGAAAGATCCAAAGCATTTTTTTCCTGTCGATGGAAATTAAATCAAACCAGTTCTAACTTCGGAATCTTCAATACCAGAGGTTACATGGAAAAACAGTTAGCAGAACATGACAGTGCAGAGATGCCAGAAACTTTTAAATACAATTTAAATTTACTATGACTTGCAAAACACTACATAACCACACTACTCACTTGTTTTGAAGGACAGTGCTCGTTCTTCTCATCTGTCATCTTCCCACTCTTCGGTGCCCTTCTTGGTTGCTTGATGCTGGTTTTTATAGCAGGCCGGCACACATAATTCTCAAGGTTCTTGGGAGGCTTTTTAGTTCGCTTTGCTTGGAGACCAATCTTCAGTTTCAAGTTTCCCTCCGAAAAGTTTGTTTCTTTCACTGAAAACTGTTGCTGTGCATCAGTCAGAGCCTCATTCTTCCCATTCTCAGTACTATTCCCCTCCCGATTCTTTTTCTTACTGTCGTCTTCTTCCTTGGTGCAACTTTCTAGCTCTACTTCTCCTTTTCCCACCAACGTGCCAATGTTTACTACAGAGGGGCTTTTCCCAGAAAACCCTTCAGAATCAGAACCCAAGCCTAACATAGCAGTATTCCGAGGGTCCATCACAGGCGGAATATATGCCTTTGGGTAATTTTAGGGAAGATTTACAGAGATATGTTCCACAGATGATCTGGTCTACTACTGGCAGCCAGCATCTTTTACTCTGAAGAAGAAAAAAAAAAAAAAAAAAAGACAGGAGTAAACTCTAATCTTCTAGCAGAAATTAAATGAATATTAAGATCTATTAGAAAGCAAACGATCATATCTCAGACAAGCACAATTACGCAGCTGATGTTTCAAAACACCAACCCTTCCTGTAACCTATTACAAAAATACAATTTATCTGTAAAGTCACTTTTAGATGATAGGTGAAAATAGGTGACTATTATAACATAATTTCCAGTTCACCCATAGGACACTTCAAATGATGGTTAATGCTTTTAATATTGATCATCAAAATAACTTTTCTTATTTAAAAGCAGAGCCCAGCTACTCCTAGTACTGCCACTCTTAGTCTGGACACACTAAAACAGTTGCATCTAAGGAATGATGCAGCTAATGAAACCTATGATAAAGCATTCGAAACCTGGAGACAAATCTGTTTTAAATCTCTGAGCCACTAGGAAAGTTGAGCTTAAACCAAGTGTGCATTAGGTTCCAAACAAGCCACAAAATCTACTTTTTAGTTGAGGACTTTCCACAATTCAGGACAAAGGATGGGCAAACAGGAAAAACCAAAGCCACCAAACAACCCCACCAAATATGTGAGAACCGCATGAAGTTCAACAAGGCCAAGTCCAAGGTCCTGCACGTGGGTTGGCGCAACCCCAGCACAACTACGGGCTGGGCGGAGAATGGATGGAGAGCAGCCCTGAGGAGAAGGACTTGGGGGTGTTGAGGGATGAGAAGCTCAGCATGACCCAGCAATGTGCGCTTGCAGCCCAGAAAGCCAACCGTGTCCTGGGCTGCGTGTCCAGCAGCGTGACCAGCAGGTCGAGGGAGGGGATTCTGCCCCTCTGCTCCGCTCTGGTGAGACCTCCCTGCAGTGCTGTGTCCAGCCTGGGGGTCCCCAGGACAAGAAAGACATGGAGCTGCTGGAGCAAGGCCAGAGGAGGCCATGGAGATGATCAGAGGGCTGGAGCACCTCTGCTATGGAGACAGGCTGAGAGAGTTGGGCTTGTTCAGCCTGGAGATGAGAAGGCTCCGGGGAGACCTCAGAGCACCCTCCGGTCCCTAAAGGGGCTCCAGGAAAGCTGGAGAGGGGCTGGTGACAAGGGCAGGGAGTGACAGGCCAAGGGGGAAGGGCCTGAAGCTGAAGGAGGGGATAGATTAGGTATGAGGCAGAAATTCTTCCCTGTGAGGGTGCTGAGGCCCTCGCCCAGGC